CCTGCAACACTCCATTAGCATATTTGTAATGTGATCCCTCATATTAGAGATTAATTACCTGATTCATTCCCTTGGATTATTTCCCTCAAATTGAAAGCAATGAGAGGAAATACTGTATCTTCTTTCCTTGTGATGGACAATAATGGTAACAATATTAGGTTCTACCAGCATGAGCCAAGCAGGCACTGGAATCTTTGGTTGCTCCAATGTCAGATCTCAGTTCCACCCACTGGTAAGATTACTTTGCCTGATATTGACTATGATCCTACACTGGGATTGTGTGGTGTAAATCTCCAGATATGGAATTATATATGAATTGTGCTACTTGACTTTTATGTAAAGTGGAAACATTGCACAACTATATGTGACACCATGTGTACAACTGAAGCTGTACTACCACCCATATCAGGAGGATCAGATAAATAAACACTGACCAAGAATGCACATCCACATGCACATTGGCAACAAATGCACAACATTGCTTCTGCAGCCTTAAATTGAAAGTGGATATTGAGCATGGACAAAAATGTCCAACTGCTTTCATAGCTGAACGTACACCTCCGTAAGGCAACAACATGATTCTTGTAATTGTTTATAAGACTATTGTATGTTTTCTGCGATAAGAAGGGAATGGTATATTTTGTAGGCAAGATTATGTAAAAATTGTGATTTATCTTGTACTTGCATTCACTTGGGCAGTTATGAATTCGGGTAGCTATGCAGTGATTCCTGGCCCAGTTACCCCTCCCCAGTCCCCACTTACAGCAGCCATTGTGATCAATGAAGATCTGTTCCACTATCAATCAGAAAGTAGCTGACTGACAGTCCCACCCTCTCCGTGAGTGATCTCCAGTGTAACAAGCAGAAGCAAGGTCCCTGTCATAATCCTTCCTGTCATGCCAGAGATTGCTCATGTGAGGGGGTGGGTGGGAAAGTCAGTCAGCTGCTTCCTGACAAACAGGGGAACAAACTCCCATTGACCACAGCAACTGCTGTCTGGGAAGTGGGAACTGTGGGACTTTCATGGTCCCTATGTATCATCTAAACTAGGGAATATGTGGGGACCATAAATACAAAACAGTCACAAATATGTAACTTTAGAACACTTGGCTGAAGTGATGCAACTATGGAACTTGTCAGTATCTGGTTGCTAGACCACTCAGGAATCCCATGTACACTGCTTCTAATGCCCTTCACAGTAAGGCCTAGTTAGGGAAATATGTGGCATTATATCACTGAAGCATGCATTTCTTTAGGCCATCTCCACATTGGCTGAGCTTACTTTTCAGTATAAAGAAAAGCATTTTATAGCATGTACTTGAGTCAGTGTGGTGTAGTGGTTTGAGTGTTGGACTACAATTCTGGAGATCAGGGTTCAATTCCCTGCTCAACCATGGAAACTCACACATACTCAGCCCCAGAAAACCCATCATAGGTTCACCTTAGGGTTGTCATAATCCCATTTTGGTTTCTACCATACTAGAATGATGCTTACGTGGGAGTTTGGGTGGAATTCCCTCTCAGTGGGAGTCAGCAGTCACATAGGGTAAGCAGAGTGTCTGAGCTCATGATTCAGTTCTTCCCACACAATCTGCATTCAGCATGCTATATCAGCTTCAGGTGTCTAGCAACCTGCAATCCCTTCCTTCTAAAAAAGGAAATGCCCCATCCTGCTTAAAATGCTTGCCATTGTTTGGATGGACATTACAATTTGCAAAACCATCTTGCATCCTGATGACTGTGCTTTGTGTCAAACTAGAACTAAAGAGAAGTATCCTATACTTTTAAAATAAAGCTTGTAAAAAAGAAATCATTCACACTTCAGTAGGCAAAACCCAAATATAAATGTATATAATGCACATATATTACTAAAACTCAAGACAAACAACACAAATTTTAATGTTATTGTTTATTATGACAATGTTTCTCTCTACTGGGACTTTGCAAAGGCAAGAAGGCACCATCTGATTACTGTTCAATCAATTAATGTTTAATGATTAATCAATTTCTGGCAAATGCCTACTGAGCTTTATGCTTGATTAGTCAGCTAGCTATTGGCATGGTAGCAGCCTATATTTAACTCAATATTGTCCATCAAATGTGATAAAGAATCTCGTTTGACTGATGGGAAACTTTGCAATATACTTTTTCCCAGCCTCAGGACAAGAGAGTAAGAGAAGACAGAGAGAGGCTGTCAGATTAACATATGTTTGATTTATTTCATACGGATGATGGCAATTTACAATCTTTGTTAATGTTTTCCTCTGGAACATTAAAGTCCTATAAACTAAAGCATGAAAGCAGGACCCTTTTCCAATTCTGGTTTGTTAATTCAGTGGTTCAGTTTTAAAGCTAAAGATCATAAATGACCTTACTGTCCAGGACACTTAGCTTTGACTTCACTCTTAATAAGGTATCATTGAGGTAAAATGCCTAGGCGGAAAGGTGAACAGTAAAGGTGACAAGCAAGTACTCTACTGTGACTGGAGAGATAGTATAGTGCTGCAGGTGGATGACCGTAACTTGAAAGGCTTTTGGCATGGTTTCTCATGTGTACACTTCACAAGACCTAACATGATCTGTATCTGCATTTTTTTACACTTGCAAGAGTACAGTCATCCCTCCACATTTGTGGATTTAACTTTGATTTGATTATTCACGGATTGTATTAGCATGTTCTCTCTAGGAATATCTAGGTCCTCCAGCATAACTCTATTGTCAACGTTAACCAAAAGTCACACTGAAGGACCTAGAGATTCCTAGAG